ACATGCCATGCGAGCACCTTCACCCCTTTATGCATGCGCACAAGTGTGCGCAAGTGCCCCCACCCCTTCGAGCACGCGTGTGAATGCCCGTGTGCCTGCGCAATCAAGCACCGCCTCTTCACGCATGTCCATGAGCACAGGGGGGTGCCTAGCCACCCTGTACACGGACCTCATTCCCTCCCCCCAACTGGTCCACAGTCTCAAAAAGTTTGGGGACAATTGTTGTAGAGCACATATAAATGGAACATGGAATGTAAGAATTGTGAATCAAAGTAAACTCAAAATAATAAAGAAAATGTGATATTTACACATTGTGGTACTTAGTGTGAGCAATCTGAAGTGGACTGGAGTAGGATATTTCCAGTCAGATAATTGCAAAATATTTTACTATGGCAGTGAAAAGATCAGAAAAAATTTTGTCGCTATAATACTGAGGCATGATGTACCCTGTTCCCCTGAAAATATGACCTAACCTGAAAATAAGCCCTAGTATGATTTTTCAGGATGCTTGCAATATAAGCCCTAGCCCAGAAATAAGCCCTAGTTAAGTGAAACCCCACCCTCCACCATTGTGCAGCAACCAGAAGAAGATGACATGAATGTATTTGAATAAATGTAGGTTGTACATGAAAAAAAAAATAAAGCATCCCCTGAAAATAAGCCCTAATGTGTTTTTTGGAGCAAAAATTAAAATAATACCCTGTCTTATTTTCGGGGAAACATGGTAGCACAAGCAGTTAGGCACTATAATGTAAGTCTGAATAATTATCAATCAGACTTCTTAACAAACCTATCAACATAACCACCAGTCAAGTCTGTTGTCCAGTTGCAGATGCTGAAGAAGAAATCAAAAGTTTTGTGCAAGTCTCCAGGAGGAAACTGATATGCATCAAGCAAGATGTGTTGATAATTCTATGAAGCTAGAATGAAAAAGTAGGAAAGAAAGTAGACCCAAGCATTTCTGGAGAATTTGGCTTAGAAGGCAGAAATGAAGCAGGAAAAAGACTGACAAAATTATGCGAAGGCAACAGTCTGCTTATTCCAAATACCTTGTTCAGAGAGTGGAACACAAAACTGTACGCAATGACATCACCAAATAGCCAATATAAAAATCAAGTAGAAGGCACAAGTAGAAATATCATAGCATGATGGGATAATGGAATTGGAAGGGGCCTGTAAGGCAATTCAGTCCAATCGCCTGTCCAATTCAGGGATGCAAATCAAAATATATCTGACAGATACAGGACAGATACAGTAGTTGTCTAATTTTCTCTTGAATGCTTCCAAGGATACCACAGACCTCCAGAAAGATGAATAAGTGGGTGCCAGATTGAATCAAGCCTGAATGTTTTCTGGAAGAAAAACATGACTAAACTGAGGCTGTCATAGAAGAGAACGCTCACTGGAAAAACTAGTAATTCCGAGAAAACTTTAAGGCAAAAATTTTAAGGCAAAAATTTAAGAAAAGTGGAAGACCAAATATGAGATTAATTAATAGCAATAAAGGAAGCCATAGATTTGAGTTTGCAAGAACTGAGCAGGAGTGTTTTGGAGGTCACTAATCCATAGGGTTGCCATAA